CTCACGGACCGCGAGATCATGACCTGAGCCGAAGTCAGACGCTTAACTGACTGAGCCACCCAGGCGCCCCTTCAGGTGTTCTTTCAATTCAAACCAAGTGATGCAACTGATACAAGTTCTATGAAATGCATTTAAAAATAGATTGATTTTTGTCCTATGCTCGTGGCCAGAGCAGTTCCCAATTGCTACTTTCTTGTCCAATTAATCAATAAATATATAATAGGCCCTTGTTACATGGTCAAATGCCACAAAGTTTAAGAAAGTTCCTTGTGCTACAATCTAACTGGAATCCATCGTCTCTGTATTTTCCTCTCTCAGGGAATGTATCTCCATTTATCCAGATAAGTTTTGATTCAGGAACTGGTTGGTTGTTTACCTCCTGTTCTCAGTTCCAAGCCTACCTTCCTCTATTCTGTTCTGCCAGGTTGGGGCAGGGATTCAGCAAACCTCAGTCACCAGCTTCCCCTGCCAGCTGGCTTCCTGTGAAGTTCCAAGAGACCGGAGTTCCAGGGGACCAGAATATCAGAGGCAAAGAATTCCTTCCTGTTTCCAGTTCCTGCATTTGTCACTTCTGTGGTGGCGGAAAGCAGGAAGTTAGCTGCTGTTGGCAGTTCCAAGATGTGGGTTTCTTTGGTATCTACTTTGTGCTCTTTCTGTCTTCCTATATCTTTATTACCAATTCCCAATATTAAACCCACTGCACTTTCCTGCCTGGACCCTGGCTGATAGAGGACCTGATACTGGGAATCATCTTAGGGAACAGGCTCTCAAAAACAAGATTCTGAGATTTATTTGCTTTGAACTCAGAGCTGAACTCTTTGCCAATGGAAAGTGGGAGCGGGTAATCTATGGCATGCGATGGTGTTATGATTCATTAAATTATCCTCTATTCTCGCTGGGTTGGAGTGCCAGCAGGAGGCAGGGTTTTGGAGACACATTAACTGCTGCCTAACGCTGGTAAAGATGATTCCGAGGAATGCAAGGTGAGCTGGCTGCTTCCGACTGCACTATGGTGCTTGCAGGATGGAAATAAACAACAAGCTTTCAGCTCAAATCATCTCTAAGGAATCAGAGGGCTTCTAAGGCTGCCCTAAAAATATCTCTTATTCCTTATAGTTATAGGACAGACATGTTTAGAAAATCAGACCCAAACGAAACATTCACAGATGGGCCACGTCTCATATGCGAGAGTGGAGGTGGTCATTTAGGAGGAATCGACTCTGACTCTGACACGAGGAACAGGAACCTTTGGGTGGGCTTGGATGAAGCTGAAAATCTGGACCTCCTCCTCCCCCCAGGTGTCACTGAGCTTCCCTTGATAGTGGATGAAGCCTCTCATTTCCTATTTGATTTTACCAGCCTTCCTTTGCTTGAAAACCTGTAGTAAGCACGTCTGAGGCAGGTGCCTTTGCATGGGGATCCCTAATCTTTTAAAAGCCCACTGCTCCCAATGCCCATGGCCTTCAGGCTTTTATCTAGAGTCAGATCCCAGCATATTCAGGGACAGAAGGGCAGAGTCTGGCTCTGAAGGAAAAGGCTTTACTCCAAAAGAATCACAAGGTTTTGTTAAATTCATGCTAGAAGAAACCCAATATAGGTAGAGATGGATTCTAAGGGTATCAGATCAAGGAGAACACAATACAACATTGGGTTGGGGCCAAACTTAGGTAGCCCTGATATAATACACTTTCCATAGGTTTTTGGACTTAATGCTACTGTAGATTGTTTCAGCAGTAGCCCCAGGGAATCATGCCATGTTGTGTATCAGGCCCTCGTGTAATTCCTTCCACATTGGTTTTGGCTTAGCTATTTCGCTTGCTTTTGGCCAATGAGACGTTAGCAAGTGTGATACAGACGGAAACCTAAAAAGCACTTGCACACTGGGGTCTGCCCTCTCTTTGCTCCTTTTGGACTCGCTTCCATGTTGAAAGAGCACAGACAAATCTGCTGAAGACACACGGCCCAACCGACAGCCAGCACCAACTCCAAGTCATGTGAATGAGGTCACCTAAGACCAGCATCCTCCAAATAATCTGTCAACTGACCACAAATGCACAAGGGAGCCCAGCTGATGCCATGGAAAGCAGAAATGAGTTGCCCCAGCCGAGCCCAGCCTAAGTTGCTAATCTACAGAATCATAAATACGTAAATGATAAACATAAGCCCTAAGTTTTGTTATACAGCAAAAGCAAGCAGAGACAAATGTATTAGTTTGAGCAGCTGGAAGTGGTCTGTTTACTAAGTTGGTTGGCTGACCCCTGTGCACAACAATGACGTGAGTTGATAGAATTTCTATGGAATAATGGGCAGAAACGATCCCAAAGGCTTAAGGAGGTAGGAATAACGGGGCAATTTGTCATGTGTAACCTGTGCATCTTTCCTCCCCTTGAAAGGGCCCAAGGGATATTCCCTTCACTAAAGCATTGAGAAATGCATTAGTGAGGGAGCCCCACAACCTTGGGTGCCACCAGACGGCTGTTTTCTGTAGGACAAAGATGATGATAGGAAATGCTGCCACGGATATGGGCTTCCTGACTTCAATGAGATGATAGGATCCCAGAAGAGCAATCGGATTTTTTTACTTACAGGAAATCTTTAGTAGTGGCTGGCCCTAAGAATTAAGTAGTTGTCCGGCCTACCAAAGCATGGCTTGATCTATAGAATAGAAATCTGGCTTGAGTTTTCACAACTGAGAATCACAGCTTCTTCCTCAAATTCTTAGAAAGGACCCCACAACAATGCCATGGGTACTGTAGATCTTCTTCCAAGCTATCCCCAAGGGGACTTGAAGTCATTCCTGAAGGTGTCTGTGCACTGGGGGAAATGGAAATACCCAGGCTTTTCAGGGATTCCTGAACGCTGCTCTGAAATGACACCAATCCTTAGGAACCCCAAATGTCACCTGCGGTCCACTAGTCAAAGGAGAGGCTTATAGTGGTCAGGTGATGAACAGAGTTTTTGCCTCATCACATCTCATTGTGATCTGTGACTCAAGCATCCATTAAAAGTGATCATTAGGAGGACTAATCAACAATATAGGTGTAAGCTTGTGGTACAATGACAAATTTGAAAAAAGGATGGAAAATTACAACTCTAGCTGAGATCACATACATGTCTGGACAAGGACCAAATGCAAACAGCAAAAATGAAAATACTTGTGCTGAGATGATGAGATCATAGGTGGTTTTTGCTTGTTTGGCATTTCTCAGTTCCTCAAACTCTCCCGAATACTATTTTTGCTCCCTTTGTAAAAGGTACTTTTTTTTTTTTTTTTTAAAGACTTAGTGTTCATTCGGCTCTTTTGTTTCAAGGATTGCCTTTACATACTTTTAACCAATCCTATTAATGTCATAAAAAGTAAGGATGTCACGAGTCGCCATTTTCTTCAATATTACGATGAGTCTCAGAGCCAATCATGCACAAGGCATCTATTCCAAGCAACAGGCCGCAGGACTGACAAACCCCTCCTCCCTCCTTGCCCTTCAGGAGCTTAGAGTCTAAGGAGAAGATGTAACATGTGCTCAAATCCTCATGATTCAAAACTGAGAAAGATAAGCTGCTAACCTAAGACTCGGCTCTAGATAATGTACACATTTGGATAGTTCATAGATCAGCAGGTGCCCTGAACTCCATGGCCCCAGTACACAGACCAACTTTCACATGGTTAACCTGCTGTTGCTGCGTGCAGTTACCCTGGACACGCACGAAAGGGGTTCCACAGCGTTTCTAAAGTGCCAACCATCAAAGGCCTTGACTAGTGAGTGTCACTGTGTCACAGACATGGAACCGAGTAAGTGAAAGGTTAAGTTTAAAGTCACAGAGAGGGCCGGGAAAGGAGCCCTAGTTTGGGACTTTGACCATTATGGATACCCATCTGAAATCTTTGCAGGTACAGCATACTAGCGTGCTAAATTTTTCTAATGTATGCCATTGGTTTCTGAGGTTAAGAAAACAGAACTTTTTAAAGATGTATTTTAAAACAAAATCATCCAACATGGTGCCATTGCAGGTTAAAACAAATGCTTTGTGATTCAGACCTCACAAAATACTCAACGGCTTTTCTCCACGATTTGTAGCCGCCCACTGTGTACTTAAATGCTTTCTGTTAATTAAACAACTCAGATGTCAAGATTCCAGTAAGCCACATAACTTGTCAATTATGGCTTGACTGTGTGTAAACTCTAATGGTCTCAAAAGGCTTTTCCAGTATACCCAGAGGAAACAGTGGAGAAAATAACTCTATTGGCAATTCGTCCTTTCCTATAACTGAAAATTTCCATTCATCTCCGCTTCTGGAAATCACTTTGGAAACTTAGGGGGGAAACTCCCTTTGTGTTGAGTCTGGCAGCAAGAACGAAGTGCAGAGCACTCACTGGGGTCTCGGGTCTGGGGCGGTCAATTTCTAAAGTGCGGTAGTGCTTGCTTAGGGTCACAGGCTGCAAGGGTGAGTGCCTGGACGTGGGGAGGGCGGACTGCCTGACGTGCTCTGAGCACAGCATGGCCAGGCGCTGCCCTCTCTCTTGGCGGTCTCCTCTTCAGTGCTGGAGCTACAAAGGCATTGGACAAGGGCAAACAACGAGCTCTGCAGGCCAGAGGATTCTTGTTCAGAGTCCAGAACATTCTCGAGGATGTCCCATCCGGTCACCCCAGCTCCTGAAAACACAGGTTCAAATCTGGGGAGACAAGTCCACAAATAGGAAAATCACTTTGCTGATTAGAGAAGAGATAACCTCTCAAAAACAGACTGGAGTGAGAAACGGCTGTAGGGGAAGAGCTCATCTATCTGGAGGCAGCAGAGTTCAAGACCTTTGTGTTTCCGCCCTCCACCATGGTCCTCATCCACATCTTCAGCCTCTCTCTCCAGACCTGTTGCAAGAGGCCTCTCCCCTCTGTACTCAGGCCCGCAGTCGGCCCAGTGACACTGGAGCACAGTTGGCGGGGCTTCCCGTTCAAGGCCTTTTGTAGCTCCCCGCGGAGCCAGATATGTCTGTTGGCTCCTGCAGGCGCATTCTCCACCCTGCTCTACCCTGCTCAGGTCACCGGAGGGTGACCTTGGACTGCTCACTGGGCTCTCTTTTTCCCTGGCTTGCATGCCATGCTTTCCTTCAGACTAGGGGATAAAGAAGGCTGTAATGACTAGCACAGTGAGGTTGGGATGCGCTTCAGGAACCTCCCAGACAGGCTGCGGGCGCATCTGGCCTAGCTCTGATTTGCTTTGGTCAATGAGATGTGGACAGAAACCTGAAAAACACATGCATGGTAGGGTCTGCCTTCTCTTTGCTCTTTTTGGACCCGCTTCCATGTTGAAAAGAGCACAGACAAACCTGCTGAAGACACACGGCCCAACCGACTGCCAGCAGCAACTCCAAGACATATGAATGAGGCCACCTAAGACCAGCATCCCCCAAACAATCTGTCAACTGACCACAAATGCACGGGGGAGCCCAGCGGATGCCATGCAAAGCCTTGCAGGTGGCCTTCTCCTATTGCTGTTCTCACCAGCATTCTGGTAACTATGCCTTCTCCTGGGGCGCCTGGGTGGCTCAGTCGGTTGAGCGTCCGACTTCAGCTCAGGTCATGATCTCGCGGTCTGTGAGTTCGAACCCCACGTCAGGCTCTGTGCTGACAGCTCGGAGCCTGGAGCCTGCTTCCGATTCTGTGTCTCCCTCTCTGCCCCTCCCCCGCTCATGACCTGTCTCTCTCTCTCTCTCTCTCTCTCTCTCTCTCTCTCTCTCTCTGTCAAAAATAAATAAACATTAAAAAAAAAATTTAACTATGCCTTCCCCCGTCCCCTCTAGGCCTAGGGGTGCTCAGCTCTCCCCTGCTCTTGCCAGTTTCAGGTCGCTCAACCTCCCCACTGCCCCCTTCCTCCCTTTGCAGCTAGTAAGCTTGCCTCAGTCACCCCTTCTGAGTGTGGCCTCTGTTTCCTGCTGAGACCTGAGGCATGCATGCCTAAGGAGCAACATCTAACCTCCTTTGCCTGGAATTCCTGGCTCACAGCAGGACCCCCAACCAGCTTCCCTCTGGTCTCACACCTAGCTTTTTCCAGGCTGGGATCACACGCCTTTTCCTACAGATGTGATGTCCCCCTGCCTCTGCCATTCCCCCTGTGTCCCCTTTATCTAGAATAGTCTGTTATTCGCATGTTTGCCTGGTGCAAATGTCACCTCCTCCATGAAGCCTTCCCTCTTCCCTGATTGTCCCCAGCCTAAAGTGATACTTTCTCCATCTCTGAATTTTCATGTATTATTTGTACTTCTTGTAATGCCATAGGGAACTAAAATACAAAATACACAGACTTCTCACACAATTAAAAACTCACAAGCCCAGGGGCACCTGGGGGGCTCAGTCAGTTAAGCATCCGACTCTGGATTTTGCCCAGGTCATGATCTCATGGTTCATGAGTTCAAGCCTCACAGCCGGCTCTGTGCTGACAGTATGGAGCCTACTTGAGACTCTCTCTCCCTCTCTCTCTGCCACTCCTCTGCTTGCACTCTCTCTTTCTCTCAACATTTTTTTTTTAAATTTTTTTTTCAATGTTTATTTATTTTTTTTTGAGAGAGACAGAGCATGAATGGGGGAGGGGCAGAGAGAGAGGGAGACACAGAATCGGAAACAGGCTCCAGGCTCTGAGCCATCAGCCCAGAGCCTGACGCGGGGCTCGAACTCCCGGACCACGAGATCGTGACCTGGCTGAAGTCGGACGCTTAACCGACTGCGCCACCCAGGCGCCCCATCTCAACATTTTTTTTAAA